TAACACCAAATGATGCTACAGCTTCTAGAGCTTAATGTGATAACATATAATGAAGATATCAAAATTAACAGTAAATTGGATTACTACATTCCTGGCACAGAAGTTGTATGGCACCATATCACAGTTGAATAGGGGCAATATTTGCAACAGCTGGTATATCAGAAAGCCCTCAACAAAATCAACAAGCACAAAAAAGAGAAAAGCAGTGCATGACATTTAATGCAGACAGATCAAAAGGGAATTGAAAGTACAGTATGCCTTAGACCTAACGATAGCCAGCAGCAGCATTCCAATACCGTTTGGAGAAGGTATTGAAGAGAGTTAACATGATCTCCATTCTTCAGAATACCACCCCAGCAAGCACCAAGGGAGCCTTGAGCAACAGCATTTGAAGCACAGCATGCGTCAGAAGAACTATTAAGGATCTCATGTGAGCGTTGTCTTCCTAGAGAAAGGACCACCAAGGTACTTGATGGCATAATTAATTATAAGTACTTCAGAACCGTTTAATACAAAAATCTGCTAAATAAATTCAAAAGCTTGATTTGCAGCTTGTTTTCAGTCACTTTGCCTCCACAGTGTAGCATATTGATTTGCTGAAGGCATTTAGTTTTGCATGGTTAAGGAAGAGTTTGTTTTTAAGTGTATTTATAGAAAAGCACAGAAGTCACAAGCAGAGTTTATTGAGACACATTGGGCAAAGTCTTGCTGTGTAACTTTGCACCCTGTAACTTGAATTGGGCACTGGAAACATTTAATTTAAGATAATTAAAAGCTTCCTATCCCCTTCTATTTAGGTTCTAAGGGTCACTAAGGCTCCTGGAGAAGCCTTTGCCCTGGTGAAGCATTTGGAAGCCTGGGGGGGGTGGTGGCAGGGGAGAGCCTTGATAGTAAAACATCACTGCCAGATCACAGCCACCAGGACTGGGATGACTAGATGTGATCTGGTGGTGTGTGTGTGTTTTTTTTTTAACTATTAAAGGCTCTCCTCTCTCCCAAAGGTCTCAAATGTATTTATTTTGTTTGCTTAATTTATATACCACCTAATTAAAGGGAGCCCTAGAGAGCCTTGGAACTTAAAAGGAAGCGTTTACAAAACTTTTATTACCTCAAATTAAATGCTTCCAGTGACCAATCTGAGTTATGCAGCACAAACTTATGCAAACAGGATTTTGCTCTTTCTTTCTTGACCAAATACACATTTAACTAAGTTGACACTAGACTAACTGAAGCTGTGCCAAATTCATCCCAGCCTCCAGCTTTTGGAAATTACTTACAACGGTCCTTGTCCTAGCCCAGTGATGGCGAACCAATGGCACGTGTGCCACAGCTGGCACACAGAGCCCTTTCTGTGGGAACATGCACCATAAGTCACCATCGAGAAATACTTACCCATCCTCCAATCCTGGATTCCAGCACTCCCCTCTGCTGGTGCAGTGGTCCATTGGAGAGGTGCCATGGCGACCATGACTGGTCTAGCCCAATGGGGAATTGGAGGATATGTAAGTATTTCTTTGTTAATACTGCCAATGGGGGGAGGGAACCAAGCATTTAACCCTTGCAGTGCAAAGGCAGTTGTTTTTTCTAAATGAAAACATCAGTATTCGGTTTTAATTGCAGTGTTGGCACTTTGAAACAAATAAGTTGGTTTTGTGTTGGAGTCTGGGCACTCGGGCTCAAAAAGGTTTGCCACCACTGTCCTAGCCTATCTGCCGACATTGTGCTTATGGCCCAGGGCTAGAGGAGATTTGGATTAGGCACACTGTAACTCAGATCCTCTTTTGCCCTTCCTTTTTCTATGCCCCTTTTTGGGGTTTCTTCTGCTGGAAATTTTAGCCAGTTGAACAGTTCTTCCTGTAGATCCTTCTTTCACCAAATCTCTGAAATCAGCTGGCAGAAGGGGGATCAGTTTGCAGCAGAAACTTATGTCTAATCTTTAACCCCCTACGAGCAATGTACCTTTGAATTAGGATGGCATTACCTAGTACGGCCTATTTCTTGCTGAGATTTTAAAATCATTTAAAACTGCAGATTGGATGGGGAAAGCATCAGAGTGAGAAGGGGATTGTGCTGGTTATTTGAGGTCAGTATTTATCCCAAAACATAGGAAACCATGTATGGATTTGATGCTGTTTATTTCAAAACTTTGTGATTAAAAAAACTTAATTTACAATTCTGCACATCCAAAAGAAATTATTTGCTTTTCCTTTAGAGGAAAACTCCCTTTTAAAAGTTACTCCAGTTTCATACACACAGCAGAATATGCTTTTTGACTAGTGAACAAAGATGAAAAGTTATATCTCCACTGAATCATAATTTTTTTGTTCCAGCCTAAATTACTGACAATTCTTAACGTAATAACCCACTAATAAGAAATTGGTCTATTTTCCCTGATTATCACAAGCTCAGGGTGTCTCCAGTACAACTAGAAGCCATCTTAAGTTCCCAGAAGTAGTCATAAGAGTAAAGAAAAACAAGAATTATGAAAAAAATATGATGCATTTTCTTTCACCATGGTTTCCATACCTGTGATTAGGACATGAATGTTAAATATCTAAATTTACAGTTCCTAATTTGCAATTTAAAATGTGACAGAAAGTAGAGATAGCACGTCTATGATTATTTCAGAGCTATTAATGACACAGAGCCTATTGGAAACAAAGGTGGCCACCCTTTCTCAGCAAAAAACATTGACAAACATAAGCAGGAAAACCTGCTGAAAATGCTGATTGAAATATAAATTAATGAGCTCCAACTAGTTCAAATCTTCAAGGTTAGTGCCAATGAATTGCCAGAAAGGGCAAATTACATGAATTTCATACCATTGGAGAATTATATATTTTCATATTTTGATACATTTTCATGCTAACCTTTAAGTTTCTGCAGTAATGGAAACCTTTATAACCCTGTTCTGATTTCCACTGCTTTGATACTTAGTATTTTGATCAGAAAGAAATGTCTCCGTATCTACCCAATGAAACAAAATGTAGTAATGCATAGTTAATGTAAAAAATTCCTCAAGTCTGAAAAAAGAAGATGCTATGTCTAGCTTTGGTTTTAGCAAGCCCTCTAGAAAAAAAAGTCAGACATAAATTTACACATAAATCTGCCTTGTCTGGACTGCCACACCAAGTGAAGGCTGTCCAGGAAAGGGCAAAATCCCAGGGGGAAAGACAAATGTACATTAATGGTCACAGCAGAAATATTCTACCAGTGAGTAGGTAAAGCTGATTAGACAGGTCTAGAGGCAGATCTGAGATAATCATGTCTCCAGCCACTAGAATCCAATCCAAATGTGAAAAAGTGAACCAAAAGCAGGGTCAAACAGAGTTAATAAAATAAAATAAAGGGAAATAAAATAAAGGGAAAGATGTCCAGATTCTCCTTTCCAATAAAAGACAGAAAAATTTGCTCAAGGAGAAAGTCTCAGCAGGGAGTTTGGGCAGAAACCTTTACATAGTAATACTCAAAAAAATCACAGGGGACAGGGCATTTTGTGAGTATTCATTGCATCCCTTCCCTCAAAATCCAGTCTCTTTCTAGATTAAACAATTAGATATAAGAATAGAGAAGTATGGAGACAAATACTGGAGCAGGGATTTGCACTGACAAAAAGCATGCACTGTGTCAAGGAAACAAAGTTGTTGTACAAATCAGAGGAGTTCACATGCTAAGAGCAATGCAAGAACTGTGAATGATTTTGGCAAACTGTTGGATGTGAGCAGTTCAAAGTGAGGCAACAGAAGATCAGAGAGAAAGAGATTGCAGTGGTTTATGTGAAAGATGGCCAAAGCATGGACCAAAAGGTCCCCACTATAACTGGAGCAAAAGAAAGGGCTCCAAAATCATATTTGTGTTTCAGAGGTCCATACTATAGGCTTTCTAGTTGAAAGGGAGTTTATATATTAATCTTGTATATTAATTATATTGATCAAATAGAAAAATCCTGAAATCCTGTTGAATGAAATGAGCAACCCATAAAGATCTAATCAGAAAATGAATGGAGAACACGCTGATGTTTAAGATTGCAACCCTATTATTTGGCAGCAAACCACACTGGACGAATATAGTAAGAATTACTTCCAGGTAGAGATTATGGATTGCACCATAAATTACATCTATATGCAGTACTTCCCCATGTTATCATTTCTTTAATTTTAGAATTTCCATTCACTCAGTGATACCAAAAATTACAAAATGTTGACTAATAATAATTATTTCTGAGTATGCAGAAACAGTAATTTGACAAAGGCAAAAACACTTTATTGATGTAGAACCATGTTATAGACCCTCTGAAATAAATATCAGTTCCTTGTTATCTTCACATCTGGCATATTTTAGCAGGAACATAGCAAGTCTGACAAGTGTTAACTGGGAGTAAACCTGTTTTTGATCAGGCAGTTATTGGTAGGACTGCAAATAGTGCTGAGATGAGTTGCAGAGAATGGGGTAACCGCATATGTGCAGGCATTTGTACAGAAGTAAAAAATAGAGGGAAGAATTGTACTTTTCAGACTTCTACAAAGATATGGCGAAATCCTCGACTACAATATGTCAACCTGAAGTAGACCTGAAGTATGAGAAAAGCCATGGGGGAAAAAAACAAAGGCCTGCTTAGCCCATCTTTCTGTTTCCACACTGGCTAATTGAATGTTAAAAGAAAACACGCAAAGCATAACATGAATCTATTATACTCTTACTCCTTTTTCCCCTCAACTGGTGTTGGAAGGCAATCCACGGATAGCAATGTGTTTTTCTAAAAAACATGCCAAAAGGAGGCAGGAATCCAGATGCTGCTGCAAGGACAGATCAAATCATTATCATATCCAAAGTTATTTTGCCAAAGGTTTTAGAACCAGCCTTGGAACAGCCATCTATCTCAAATAAGGAACACATTAGTGCACTTTATTATCTTTAAACCTTAATTAGGTACTTAAAATGTAAGCTGCATTATCAAGAGCAATTAGTCATATTTCAAACAATGATTAATTTTAACTTACATTCTGCTGCTTGGGATAATCTTGTGCCCATCTCTAAACCAAGTCACTTGTGGTCTAGGGTTGCTTGTGATATATGGGAAGTTCAGGACTGCAGCTTGCCCTTGGGATACCGTCTTCCTCTGTTCCATGTCCTGGAAATTCCCCATGTCTGCAAAGAAAAGTTACACTAAGAAACCCAGAAGTTTCCTTTCTTAAGCAATGTTGTTATTTTTAGGGGTCACAGAGGATAATAACTGTGTTTTACAGTAGTCATTGGGATTGGAATAATTAAGCCATGAGATGTAGCAGACGTTTTAGTAGTGCTGATGAGTGCAGGTTTGAGGGTGAGTAGTGAGGCATGAAGCAAAGCCCAGTGACTCCAGAACACCTAAGAAATGTCTGTGTCAGCACTCATGCATGTTTGCTTTCCTCTGGGTTGGCAATTGCCTTTTTTCGCCAATTGAAAATTGGCATAGTGAATAACATATTAACTTCTGAAAGGTATTTTTACATTATATAACAGGGAATAAATGATTCCTAAGGCATCTGTAAACAAACATCTTAATAATGTGCCTGATTCTTGCATGTGGGCAAGTAAGGGTATGGTTAGTCAGTCTTTCCTGGTCTGGTACCTTCCAGGGCTGGTCATGCTGTCAATGGAAATGATGGGAGGCACCCTGAGGGGAACAGTTTGGGAAAGTTGGTATAATCATCAACACCTTGCAACTGAACTGTACCCAAGAAAAATGACTGGTAACCCGTCGAAGAACTTTCAGTATTAGTATGATGTGATCATATTTGTGAGTTCTAATTAATAATGCCACTCCCATGTACTATAATAATTAATGAAATTTGTCAAACCGGTGTATTAAGACAAAGCTGCCCCAAAAGGAGCTTTCAGTTAGAGATCGGCACGAATTGCTGGTTGGTGGTTCAGCAATTCAGGTGCACAGCTGTTCCATGGATTTTCTGTCTTCCCAGCCCTGCCTCCTCTGGTGGGCACTTGCTCAGAGGCAGCGGTGTGGCTGTACTGCCTCTGTGTGGCTGCTTAGCAGAGGAGGCAGGAGTGGGAAGCTGCACTGCTGCCCTTGAGTGGGTACCCACGAGAGAAGGGCTAGGAAGCCAGGGAACATCTGTGTACCTCAAGCACCAAACTGGCAGTTCATGCCTGTCTCTACTTTCAGTTACGAAATACACATGACAGACTGCACATCAAAGTCAAATTGTGGATTTTTGGGTTAGAATATGGGTAGTGAATATAGATAGGCATGAACCAGCAAAACAGCAGTTCATGATGGTTTTTGGTTCATCACGATTCATGAATCACAAACTGTTTCATATTCATGTGATTTGGACACCACACTTAAAGAAAGATGCTAACAAACTGGAACAAATTCAGAGGGTGACAAGGATGATCAGGGGCACAGAAACCAAGCCTTATGAGGAAAGGCTGAAAGAACTTGGCATGTTTAGCCTTGAGAAAAGAAGGCTGAGGGGTGATGTGATAGTACTTTTCAAATATTTGAAAGGCTATCATACAGAGAAGGGGCAACATCTGTTCTCAGTCATCCCCAGAGTGCAGCACATGCAACAATGGCCTCAAGTTAAAGGAAGCCAGATTTTGGTTGAGTATCAGGAAAAACTTCCCAGAGCAGTACAACAGTGGAACCAGTTACTTTGGGAGTTGGTGAGTGCTCCAACACTGGAGGCATTCAAGAAAAACTTAGATAATCACCTGGCAGATGTGCTTTGATTGTATGCCTGCATTGAGCATTGAGGGGATTGGACTTGATGGCCTTGTAGGCCCCTTCCAACTTTACTTTTCTATGATTCTATGGTTCATGTGATTTGGGATTTCCAGGAGTGGTAGAACAGCTCCTACATGAGTTAAAAACACCAAATTCACAGCAAATTTTCCAATGACTTTCCTCCTCACCTCTACAAGTCTGCAAAAGACTGGATTTGGGACATATGCTGGCTAAAGGGCACTTTTATGGGGGTACCTGTTTCAGGGGGGGCTATTACTCTTATATCTCAAATCCAGTATTTACCAAATTTGAAGAGGGTGGGGAGGAGAGTCAGTCAGTTCCACGTTTCATGATTAGAAATTGGGAAATCGGGCTAGAGCCAAAAACATGACATCAGGAAACATGATGTGTAAAGCAACTGGAGAGAATGTGAACGGAAAAGATTGTGAACTGTGTGGCCGTTGATTACACTAGAGAAAGTTTAAGATTCAGGAGCTGATTAAAATCCATTTGTATAAGAAAAAATATTGACACTACTCCTATTTGTCATTCAGAAAAAATCTGTATGTATAGCTCATTCCAGGCAATGTCCTATATGACATGGAAATTGAAATGGGGATAGGGATGAGGAATAAAAAGAGTCAGCTCCATCGACTGAGCTGCAGAGGAAAGCAGAAACTGATGGTCTTGCAAAAGAATTAACCAGACCCTGAAGTGGACTGGAAAATCAAGTCACTGTTTTAACTTAGGCTTTAATCACCAGCATGACTTTTTTCCAGGTTATAAAATAATTGCCACCCACATCCTTTGTTTATAAATTCAAAACATTACCTTAAAAAAAAGAGAACTGAACTAAGCAAGTCATTCTAATTAACCTTGTTGTTACATAACTTTCACAATTTGGATATTTTCTAATTAAGACTTTTAATAACAGCTTCTGTTTGTTGTTGTTTGCATTAATTTACAATTCACTATATAAATTTTTTTACTATAAAGGTTATCTAAAAAATTAACTCTGTGATGCTTCTCATATATATTTTTAATCTGAAGCAAAATAATTTGCAAATTACTGCACCTGAAATTGCAAATCACCAGAGCTTAAAAGAAATTAATACATGGCTGCCATCACACAGTTTAAACCTGTACGTTGCTTGCTTCAACTTGCATTCAGGGTTCTGACCCTATTTCTATCACCTTTTAATTTTGCTTCTTGACCATCCTTTACAATTTCAAGTATTCCTTCCATCATCCATCTAGATTTTTCTTTTCTACTACAGGAATTTTATTTTTGCATTCTTCCCCAATAATATTTCTAATTTCAGTCCAAAAAGCTATCCTTACTTTTCCTTTGCAAATGCAAGGAATATTTTGAGGTTTCAATAAAACTGAGGACAGTTTTTCTAGGTGACAAGAAGAATGATATAATTCCTTGTCCTCACTATGACGACATGTGAAGATTTACAATCATATGAGTACAGTACTAGTAGGCTCAATCAGGAATTCCATTTACTTTTAATCTCCTCCTTCTGTATGACAAAGGGGAAGGGGGGTTAAAACATTCCATCCCTGATTTCTTGATGGATCATACTGATAAACTATAAATGTCAGATTGGGCTCCTTAGGTATACGTTTACCACCACTACTCTGTAGCTGGCAGGTTTACAGTGGTCACAGCTACATGTAAGAAACAACTTCAATTGTTCCACAGTTGAATGTATTCTCAAAGGCTTGTGGCTTGAAATAGTGACTTATCCCCATCTCTACTCCATATTCAAGGAAGGGGAGTGGAAACAAACATACTATCACTGCCTGCTTCTGTTGTCATTGGTTAGAGGCCAACTGTTTTTACTGGAGGCCTCTCTGTATTTGGGGAAGCTTTCCATCTACAGATAATTCAGAATTCCGAAAAGCTGCCATTCTAAATCACACAGAGAACTGACTTAAGCTGGGAAGAGTTGAGCAATGCTGTTGAGGATAAGGCATGCTGGAGACCTCTCATTCACAGGATCGCCATAAGTCAGAGGCAGATTGATGGCCCATAACAACAACAACAACAACATAATTATGTCTGAAACAACCCTGCTTGCTGTTGGTCAAATAATTCAGACACTGAAATATTCCACCATTCAATCAATTTTTTAAGCCAGTGGGTGTTGCAGAATATCTGCAAAAGAGACATTAAATAATGGGTAACTGGAAGAGTTAATAGCTGCTCAGGCAATTTGTACAGCATTGCATACTATTATTCTTGATGCAAATATTAAACTGCAGAAAAATAATTCCAGCACATTTTCCCTCATGATACCTCTCTTCCCTATTTAATCACTTCCTTGCAAATGGTCATGTCTAATCAAGAATTCCATTCACCCACTTCATCTTCCTGCCATTTATCAAATGACAGCCACTGTTGCTGACCTTCCAGTTAAGTGCCCTGAGGAACAATAACCAAAGTCTGAGACAAAGACGTGTAGCGTATAAACAAATAATGAAACTTCATGTTACTTGAAAGATTTCTATTTATTTTCTACACAAAAAGATAATGATATGGAAAAGGTACCAACAAAGCAGTAAACCAGATTCAAGCTGCCTAAGCAGCTTTTGCCACAAAAATTACCAAAGCTTGAATGATCAAATTGCTGGCACAACTTACTGAAAAAATCTTCAGTTTTAATCTAACAAACACAGAAAACTTAAGAGCTACATAGTGCAAAGAATCACATTGTATGTAATGGCATCACGACAAGAGAGATTAAATTCAAACTGTATGTTATCAGGAGATCCATGAGTGCATATCCTTATTATTGCTGTTGTTAATTTACAATCAAGAAAGTTCTAAATTCTCTTGGAGAACCTTTACCCATTTCCCCCAGCAGGATTAACATCAGCTTGGGAGAAATGATTGACACTATGAAGATCAGACAAGGGAAAAGGCTTATGCCTCCCTCTCCAGGTGCCACTGCTCCAGCAATAAACTTTCTATACACTTTCAAGAAGATGTCCTAGATCTCACATAAAATGCGAAGCCTGGCCCTGTGTTACTCGTACAATGCAGTTCAGAAGAAGAGAGGACAAGAGGGACTCCACTTTACTATTCTGCAAGATGAATCGAATTCACATTGTGAGATATCTTAAATGATCTTCATGGAAAGAGAGGTGGGCAGAAACGATGTATAAATTATATTTATCATTTAAAATATTTATTCACTACCTATTAGAGGTTTTAAGGAACCGTGACAAACAAATTCACAACCTAAGTATGTACACTGATATATCAATGTATGTTATGTTTGGTTGGTTGGTTCAAAGACCACATGGAAACCACTTCCAAAGACTGTTAAAAAATAAAAGTAAATAAGCTTTTATGGAAACAGATATATTTTATAATTCAAGACACACATGATGGGATCTGCAATTAAGAAACTCAATGCAAAGATCTAAGTGAAATTTGTGTTTTTAACCATTTGTTTACAGAGACTTGGACTGTGCGGAAACTGAATTTTAACCTGACATTTCCTTTATGGTGTGTTCAGCAACTCCTCAAATTCTTCATACTATAGTACGTCTACTCATGTAGGTGGTCTTCAGCTTACAAAACTGTATACATAACAATTACTTGTGTTAATCATTTATATATTTCAACATTACAAAGAAACAGTGACTATATAAGACCAGCAATTTCAAATAATGACGGAGTGAGTCTATTTATCCCAAGTGAAAGAAACTCTAGAGTTCAAATTCTGCAGTAAGGATGCAAGGGGGGGGTCTCTATTCCTTCAAATAATACTGGGAGGGGCTGTACTGTATATATATTTGGAGCTTGTGTGGAGAAGTTTAGAAGCTGGAGTGGGAGTCTGTGTGTCAGACTGGGTACAACTGTGTGTCAGTCAGTACCTACCTGATAGGTTCAGGTTTCTTTATACAGTAGGTAGCCAGAACTGATAGGTTCAGGGTCTGTGCTTTATTTTAAAGTGTTCTGTGTGAACCAAACTGTTGTATGTATGATTGAGACTAAGCCACGTTACAGTATCTTATTTACTTGATCTTTTTATTTACCCTGTTTGTTATTTAAATAAACCTTGTTCTTTTGTTTGTTAAAAATCCATTCCTGGTCTGTGTGACTTCTTATAGGGAATGGTTGGTGGCAGCTTAATTAAAGTGTGGTATACTCCAGTAGGTCTGGGGTTGTCACATTACTCCACTTTACTATTCTGCAAGATGAATCGAATTCACATTGTGAGATATCTTAAATGATCTTCATGGAAAGAGAGGTGGGCAGAAACGATGTATAAATTATATTTATCATTTAAAATATTTATTCACTACCTATTAGAGGTTTTAAGGAACCGTGACAAACAAATTCACAACCTAAGTATGTACACTGATATATCAATGTATGTTATGTTTGGTTGGTTGGTTCAAAGACCACATGGAAACCACTTCCAAAGACTGTTAAAAAATAAAAGTAAATAAGCTTTTATGGAAACAGATATATTTTATAATTCAAGACACACATGATGGGATCTGCAATTAAGAAACTCAATGCAAAGATCTAAGTGAAATTTGTGTTTTTAACCATTTGTTTACAGAGACTTGGACTGTGCGGAAACTGAATTTTAACCTGACATTTCCTTTATGGTGTGTTCAGCAACTCCTCAAATTCTTCATACTATAGTACGTCTACTCATGTAGGTGGTCTTCAGCTTACAAAACTGTATACATAACAATTACTTGTGTTAATCATTTATATATTTCAACATTACAAAGAAACAGTGACTATATAAGACCAGCAATTTCAAATAATGACGGAGTGAGTCTATTTATCCCAAGTGAAAGAAACTCTAGAGTTCAAATTCTGCAGTAAGGATGCAAGGGGGGGGTCTCTATTCCTTCAAATAATACTGTACTCCAGCACCACTGTTCTTACAGAGCATGGCAACTACTCTGGGATTTTGCCAGCTATAGCCTAGCAAGAACTGACAGGTCTAGGATATGGAACACATCTCTTTTGAAAAATAATAGAAACATCTGGGCTAATGAAAATAAGAGCAGTTATAATATTTGCATACATGAGTAGGGACTTTATTAAGAAATTTCAGAATAATTGCCATTCACACATACATGCCACTTGAACTTCTGATTTCCTTTGCAAGAGCGCCCCCATTCTGTTCCTCACAACACACTGGTAAAAACCAGCATCAGATCTTTTCAAGGATGGGATAACATACCTGTAAGACATAAAGAGACACAGCAGTTATAATATGTACTTTATTCTAGTACGTATTCTCTAGCTCTCTTCACACTTGAAAGAATCAATAACAACTGCTCAAAACTAAAGTCATATTCAAACTTTTCACGGTGATATACTAATTTTCATATTGTTTCCTATCCCCTTGATTGTCAGTTCTCGTTTATAAACAGTGCTATGCTGTGAGATATGAAATGGTGTATGCAGGAAACATTAAGATGAATTACTTAGTACTGCATCTTTAAAACCTTTTTATGGATATAATTAATTCTACTTATTGGCCTAGAATTATATAGAGATATTTGGATATTTTACAGCACTCAATATTCCTTCATCTATAAAACAGGAAACCCAAATTCTTGCCCTATGGCGAGAAAAGGCAAAACAGAAACCTAAATCATGATATTGGAAAGATGTTCAGTAAAGTAAGATCTCTACTTCTAAGTACTTTAAAAATGGAGTTATATAGCATAATCAACTGAAAGTAATGAACAAAGATGCACCATATACTGCAGAGCTGACTAAAAGGTATTCATCAGAGTGACTATGGCTGCCCTTTTCTAACAGTCTTTCATGATCCAGACAGTTCTGTCTTCCACTTTTTCTCCTCTTTTCCCAAACAGTGTACAAAGACTGCTGAAGAACTGGAATTTTTTTTAATAAAACTACCAAGTGGTTGTTGTGGGTTTTTCGGGCTTCTTGGCCGTGTTCTGAAGGCGGTTCTTCCTAACGTTTCGCCAGTCTCTGTGGCCGGCATCTTCAGAGGACAGCAAATACATTAAAACTACCAAGGTCTGTATTCTCATGTTTATTCTTGCAGATTGCCATGCTCTATAGTTAAAACAATTTCATTTTCATTTTACTCCGATCAGTATGCTGAACAGAGCCAGCAGTCAGAAAAACTTTCTGGTTTCTTTTAACAGTACATTTATGTCACTCTATTGAATTCAATTTCCACGCCAGTGTAACACATGCATCTCTTTCTGTGTGTGTGTTGTAGTTATTCTATGAAATAAATTATGACTTTTCCTCAAATATTCTAGTCTTCCCAATAACTGAGGAATTATTTTGCATGCAAGGGAAAAAGAGATATTTTCATTGTCTGAATGCCAGAAGAACACCTAAAGTTTATGCAGTTCTGTGCAAGTAATTTAGGAAAATCGACAATTTTGTTGGGAGTGGAAGAGCCTAAAAGAAAACGACTGCTCAAGAAACTCAAGAGAAAAGATGGCTAGTATCTCAATAAGGGAAGTGTCAGTTAAATCTTTGCATCCCCCCCCCCTTTTGCCCCAAAACTCATGATCTGAAGAACAGCTGCCAAATTCAGATTTTGGCATTATAAAAAATGCTCACAGATCTCAAAGTCCCACCACTTTCACAGGCACACTTGGTGAGGACATAAGAAAGGGCTATTCCCATGGCCACGCCCAGATTATGGAATTCTTTGCATAGGGAGGCTAGACTGGCCATCTCTTCATCTTTTGCCAGCATATAAAATGCTTCTTGTTTAGCAGGCCTTTGAAAACTATCTGACTGCCAAGGGTTGGGAGTTTTGAAGAAACGTTTTAATTTTCAGCTGCTGAACTCTAATTATTTTACCTGCAACAAGTTAATGGGATATGCCTGCAGCAGGTAAGTGGTTTTCAACTGTATTCTGCTTTTAAACACAAAGATGAAGTTGATTACATTAACTGATAATTAATGGACTTATAATGTATTTTGAAATTTGTACTTGTTTTTAAGTTATACAGTAAAATTTCTGGGGGAAAGATGGGATACAAATCATATCAGATCAAATCAATCAATCAGTGTGGAGTAAACACAATGAAACGTATACACACTAAAGACTTTGGTATTATTTCTGTGAACATGTTGTACAGGACCTGGTGGCAGATGACCTCCCAATTAAGGGTGGGATCCAATGGTGTGCGTCTACTGCATCCTACTGCTTCTGTTTGAGCTTGTGTTTCTTCCTGCAGTCCAGAGCTTAAAAACTGTTCTGAAGACTTATTAAACTCACTATTATAGATTATTGGAACAATAAATGGCTGCAGAAGGTGAGTGAGGGAAATAAAGTCCTGAATTCATTATGGTTTGATAACAAAGAGCACCTCTGGAGCTTGGCCAATGGCAGCACTCTTAGCTTGCTCAAGAGTTTGCATCAGCTTATGTTTATGTAGTAAAAACCCAGATGTTTGACCAGGGTGCTTGCCTACAAAATGCAAGCTGAATTTAGCCTAGTATTCTTCAACAAAAAATAAACACACTTTTGTCTGCAATGATTTCATCCTAATGAATAAATGCAATTCCCTGCATATAAATACAAAAACATGCCAAGTGCATCTTAGTTTGTGGCATGCAATTAAAAATAAATAATAGACCTGAAATATTCATATGGTAACATATTTATTCAAACATTATTGTGAATTTTGATTAGTTTTCTACACACTTTCTGTGTGAGAAAACAAATGCTTCAAGGGTCGAAACAATTTAATCAAACCATAAACAAAATATGCTTTTCATCACTACCGAAGGAACTTATGTATTATATTTTGTCAAACTGTGATTATGTCAAACAGCATTTAAGTATATTTTGCTATGGTGGCAATACTACTACTGTTTGGTTTTCTATTATAAATATTATGCAGTAATATGTCATGGAAGTTTTTGAATGTATAATAATTTCCATTCAATTCTTCAAGCATAGAACATATCTCTCCTGTCTTCTAGTATACTTGCCTTCTACATTTCTATCAACTCCAGTTTTCCTTAGCCAAGCCCATCTAAATTCTTCTACTACTCCTCAAGTTTGTTAATATCACTGATTTAAACCTTTCAATATTTCTCCTTAAATAATGACTGTATCTCACACAGAGAACACCACATTCGGTAGCATGTAACTCATGATACTAAGTGCTTTTTGAGTATTCAAAGTAATCAGACACCAACAATTCATCAGCAATGAAACCAAATAGTGCACTGAAGAAGGAATGAAGAAGCAGGCACAATGACCCTACTGATTTCTTCTTTCCTATGCAATCCATGACATATTATTGACTTTCTAACCCTCAATAGCAATTCTAAAAGAGCAGCTAAGTTTCCTTTCCTTTAGACTATGCCTTGGCATGTGCATGGGAGGCAACAACTGAAATCAGCTAAAGATATAAGAGAAGGCCAACTGCTATTGTATTCTGTCTGGCCTTCAGATCCACTATTTGGAAACAGCACAATTCAGTTTGTACTGATTTGGTGGAGCCCTGATTGATTCAGGGCCAAATTTTAATCCTGATTAAGAAATCCAGATCTTCATGTCTACAGTACATCTTTAATGTTTCAGTATATAATTTTCCATACTGTACAAAAATAATTTTTTTCTTTCATAAAAGAGTGCCTGTACTAAACACACAAAAGTAATAGAAATGCCTTAAAGAGTCTAGTAAGATACTCCCACAGTCTGAAGTTTTATTATACAGGAATTTCACCTGTGTTTTTTGTGATTGCTGACATAAAAATGAGAATATCATCTCAATACAGTACTCAATACTATAAATGAAATCTACATTCTAGAAGTCATTTACTTGTATTCACTGGAGAAGGCAGTGGTTTCAATGTCATTATGCAACCACTTAAATTCCAACGGCCAGCTTCCTTCTGCCAAGCATGTGAGCACAAGACGATTCCCTTCTAGATGAATCTGGGGCAAACCTGGTTCTGTCTTGAAATAGGGCGCAACATCATCTGAAACAGGAGAGGAAAAATATTATCAAAACTAATCATAATGAAATAGCTTGAATTGTTATGTATGTTTTCATAAGAATAGTTGGAAAATAAATTAGAGCCACCATAATATAGTAGGTAGTGAACACTAGGACAAAACAATCCCAGTTTCATATAGTTTGTTCACATACTGCATACTGTACAGTTTGTTTGGTGCTGGGTTTTTACCATAATAAATTCAATTCAATATAGTTCATTGATAAAGCAAATGATCACAGGACCTGCACAATGTTCTCTCAGAATGCCTATGTTGGCTTCTGGTGCTTCAACTGTGGTTAAAGTAAACTACAGTTTCCAATTTTACCCTACAGGACAAGCTATGGCTTTACTAACTGGCATCTAAATCCATGGTTTGATCATAGGTTCAATTCTTTATTAGAAACTTCAGTTTTGGAAATATGGTTTTCTTTGAGCAGGGTTGAAATGCTGAAAGAAGAGGAACTTACAAGAGTGGTAAACAAATGCAAGAGTGGTTGATCCCTTTTGTGTGACCCCAGAATGATCAAACAAATATCAAGCTTTTATGGAGAAAACCCACTTCCTCAGGCTCAAGCACAACCCTTTCATGGAGAGTGCAAAGAAAAAGAAAGAAAGAAAGAAAGAAAGAAAGAAAGAAAGAAAGAAAGAAAGGAAGGAAGGAAGGAAGGAAGGAAGGAAGCAAGGAAGCAAGGAAGGAAGGAAGGAAGGGAAGGGAAGGAAAGGAAAGGAAAGGAAAGGAAAGGAAAGGAAAGGAAAGGAAAGGAAAGGAAAGGAAAGGAAAGGAAAGGAAAGGAAAGGAAAGGAAAGGAAAGGAAAGGAAAGGAAAGGAAAGGAAAGGAAAGGAAAGGAAAGGGAAGGGAAGGGAAGGGAAGGAAAGGAAAGGAAAGGAAAGGAAAGGAAAGGAAAGGAAAGGAAAGGAAAGGAAAGGAAAGGAAAGGAAGAAATCATTGTAGAAAAGAGTCTAACAATTATTACATCACTGAGAAGTGAATCCAGTTTTCTATAGGTTGCATTCTCAGGCATCTGTACAGAATATCTTGGGATCTTTTATATCCCTACACTTGAGAACAAAAGGCTAATTACTCTGTGACTGTGTCTTGCTCATAAGAATGTTCTTTCCTTGCTTCATAAACCACGGTTTATAAAGCTGAGATCACTAGGTCTTTGGCTTTGCTTCTTCCCAACAGCTTTTTACCCAAGCCAAGAAATTTTGTAACATTAAGAACTTGTGTCCCCTTTTTTTTTCTTCTTAGTGTGCCAGCATGAGGGCAGGAATGTTCTTGTCATTTTCATTATTATGACTGACGTACAAGATGTTCTGAGAGCTTTTCCAGCTGTACAGTATGAAATCTGCAAATAACTGATTGGTATAAATTGAACTGACAGAATGGAGGACTGTGGAACCCCACATTCACATTGCTTGGACACAAAGTTCAAGAAATGGCTTCAAAGCAGTCAACAACTCTGCACTGTAGAGCATAAAACAAGAGGAGGAGGAGGAGGAGGAAATTGCCTCTCCCATAAACGTCCAGGAGCAATGATTTACCTTTTGGCAGGTCACAACAACTCCCCCACTCATTTGCTACTGCTTAACATTCCCAAATATCAATCTTTTCATTTGTTTTGGAGAAGAGAAGTTTGGATTCATTTATTTATTTACTTACTTACTTAGTTAGTTAGTATCATTTGTAGAGAGTTTTTTGTGATCTGTGAGGTCTTCAAAGTTCCACTATATGAACCAAAGTTGCTCACTGCTGCTACACGCAATAAATTGCAAAGGGTTAAAATTATAGTGTTTGCAAAAGGAGATAAATACTCCAGTTAGAGCTCCTTTGTGGATTTAAATGAAACAAATAATGCTACTGTTCTCTGGTGAGTATATTTTCAGTGGGAGATGACAACTATAATAATAACTTTTAACTGTAGAACTGGAAGGGACCTTATAGATCATCGAGTCCAACCCCTCTCAAGGAGACACAGTGGGAAATTGGACTCCCAACCTTTGGCTTCAATTGAGAATGCTATAACCAGAATCCTATTTTGTACGCACACTCACATATGAGCAATAGTGTAAATACACTGGTCAATTACCACCAGTTGAAAAGTCACAATTTATATTCTTCGTTGTCACATATCTGGCACACAAATTATATAAATAATGTTTTCTTAAATAATGGGACTTTACTACTACATTTACTACAGTGTATTCAAGCGGTTGGATTCTGGGGTTGTGCATTTTCTAATAAAAGTAGTATACAGACCATTGGACTGTATGATACATATTCAGCTCAGTAGAAATTTGTATTTGAAATTCTAATCTCAGACATACTTGTCTCTTATACCCTCCAGTATATTTGGTGCAATATTCATCTGCTTCTCATGTTCACAAGAATTAAATCAGTTCATTAAATTCTCCTTAGAAAGTTATAAAAGTAAGCCTGGATGAAATGATTATCACAGCAGGGCATATCTCAGGATAAATAAAGAATTTTGATAGCAGCTTTGAACAAAACATTCTTCAGAACAGCACGATTAATGTGTCTTTCAACATTGTCTTTAACCAGATGGTCATAAAACTACAAAAACTGTTTGAATGAGACAGTTTTTAATAGTGTGCAAATGTCAGATATATTTTTTAAATTATATCAACCTGTAGATCAAAACTAGTAACCAGATTCCATGATGGAAAAGCATAAGCAGGAACTGTAGATTCAATCATAAAAAGACACAACTTAGAGAGGAAGAAATATCATAGAGCAATATTTATCTGCACAATACCCTGTCAAATTGAGAATAGGATCTAGTGAAGTTTATGAGTGTCCTCATCAAGTTTATGCTTATAATTACCATAGTTCTCCCTATATGAAACATACAACAAGGTAGACCTGTAAAATTAAAATGCATCCAAGTGGAGGGATGAGCTACCCTACATTGGGCCACAGAATGTCCATAATAATGTACCAACAGAATTTTCCTCAAGTCTGTGCATTCTTCTTCGGATTTTACTATCAACTGGGGTTGGGAGATTCTATCAAATCCACTCTAAAATTACTGTTTCAGGGGTTTTCCTCCATAGCACAAAGCAGATACAGAAGGTTTCAAATTGCAGAGATGATGGGGGCAGGGAGGGTATGAATAGTTTAACACTTTCGCTACCATCGTCCACACAAAGTGTCCACACCCAATCTGCTTTTTTTCTTAGCAGATACAAGATGGATACAATCATTCTTTTGCTATAGTATCATAAAATAGGCTCGTTAAGATTTCTCCTGTTTTTTTCCAAAAATTGCCATGGTAGCCATTTTAAGTAGCTGTATCTTTTGTAGAAGAAAAATCACTAATTTTATCTATATCCCACCTTTTTCTAATAAAGAGATTCAAGGCCGCTTGGGGCATCAAAGCACTAGCACAAAATCAGCGGAGACAAGTACACTGTCAGGGCCCTGAAGCTGCCTTGTTCCTTCTGAGCTTAGCTGGAATCTTCAGAGCAGCTAGCAGTGGTACGGGGAACAATTAATTTTCCCAGGCACAATATATTGTTTTGAGATGTCCTTGTTATGATGTAAGTATTTAAGGATGCCTTGCTCTTGAACGGGCAATCAAGACTCAATTAAGCCTGCTTTACATTCTTAGATTCTTGATGAGGACATAAGTACTGGCACTGGGATGATGAAAGCTGGCATTCAAAATGTACCACCACTACATGGTCCACAATCATTGGATCCCTCTCTGACTCTAGTATTCTGAACAGATGGAAAGTATTGTCTGGATTTTTTCATCTAAAACTGCGATAGTGAGATTTGGACATGTATTTCCATGGATTATTTTATTACAGATAACAGACAAAACTAAAATCTTTGCACACCAAATCCTCAGATTTTACCTTGGCTGCAGAAATATTCATAAGTCAGATATGAATACAAGATAGTTGTACATGAACCTTTCAAAATGAAAGTGAAGTGGGCATTTTGCACAAGGTAGCAAACTGGCCTCATTCTATCAACAGCCAACCAACCAATTCTCTTTGCAGCAGGAAGCATGCCTACATTTTAGAGCACAATCATATGGTGATTTTCTCAGATGTCCCAAAATATGTAATACAGCTTACTTGCCAAGGTAAGCATACACAGGACTCCAATTTTAGGGCAGCAAAATACTCTTGCTAAGCCACAGTTCCCTGTGCTGCATGCTAAACAAGTTCTGGTAGTTTGGGAACATTTCAAAGAAAGTTGTATGCAATGCTATTCAAGGAGACAAATCATTTGGGAAGATGATGCATCATATCCTTTCCAAACATTTGATTTGCAGTTTTTGGAAGTACCAGACAAACTTACACTACAAAGCTGAACAGATGCCATGCCTAGTTCCCAACAGAGGAACATAGGACACTAGTTTATATGGAGTCAGAACTTTAATCCATCAAACATTGACACTGGCTAGATGCAGACACCAAATGAAAATGACTGTCCACAGACTCTGGCAGAATTTTTTTCCTAACTTTACTTTGAGATGCTAGGGACTGAAGCTGGGACATTGACTATGCAAAGCTTGTGCTCTACCACTAAAGCACAGCCCCTCCTAGGGCCATTGTATAATGCATGAAGTCTCAGTGCTAAATCTGTTACTCAAACCTAGCTATATCTTTTCTCGGTCATTTTTTGTCAGTTCCTTTTTACAGAACTTTGCTGAATAACCTTAGAAATATACCGAATGTGTGCAGATGACAAAACTATACCAATAATTTTTAATTTTCAATTTATATTAACACATTTTAAATTAAAAATACAATGCATATCATATGGAAATAACACACAGTTTTACAACATAAATAAATTATTCTGTTTACTATATTACAAATTTCATCATAGATGAGTGCTGAATATGAAGTGAAGTTTAAAAGGGATTATTTTATTTCACTTAACTTGGACCTTCATATTTGCAGAAAATACTGTTACCATTATTAAACTGTTTTAAACTGAATT